CGTCATCATGAAGAGGAAAGAACTCTATGACCTAGTCAGTGCATCAGAGCCGCTCAGTACGAAGGAACTGGAGCCTTCGTTAAATCACAACAAGAACGGCAAGGCTGGGGCCGTCACAGATAACTCCGTTAGGCTGAAGAAGGAGCTAGGTCTGGCCGAGAGTGTGGCTGTGATCGTGGGCATTGTAGTGGGTTCCGGGATCTTCGTCTCCCCGAAGGGGGTACTGATGTACAGTGGTAGCGTGGGGATGTCTCTGGCAGTGTGGGTCGCCTGTGGCCTCCTCTCTATGGTTGGCGCCCTCTGCTTCGCCGAATTAGGTGAGTATCGAAAGTGGAAGCTGAAGAAAATGACTTAAGTTGGAGATTATGTCGTGTTTCATGGAGCAAAGGCGATTTTTACTCATTCGAACTTGGATGTAATGTGTTTAGATAGGATTTTATTAGTTGTTACTAATACCTACACTACACTTGAAGGGAAGCTCCTGAGGCCTTCCAGTTCAGACTCCCAGATTTCTTCACCTCATATTGAATATTCAACTCCTCCTTTTTGATGGAATATGACACAGAGAGTGTCCCAAATATTTTTTTTATAATGAAAATATATTTTCACCACACATTATCCTCTTTGTACTGTGGTTCGTTCTTATATGTGTACAATTCATCCAATTCCATGTGCAGGCACGATGATACCAGAGAGTGGGGGTATGTATACTTACTTGCACCGAGCCTTTGGTCCAGTCTTCGCCTTCTTGTATATGTGGGTCACTATCCTCACCAGAAACTCTGCCGGGACTGCCGTCATAGCTGTCACTTTCTCTAACTACTTCCTACAGCTGGTTCTCCCTAACTGTGAGTCGGTGCCTGCTATACCAGCTAGACTCCTTGCTGCGGCATTAATAAGTAAGTACTATTTTACATATCATAAACACTGATTAATAGACAATTGCTGATTATATGGGGTTCACATAGACAGTAATTATCTTATAGCTTGGTTGGTAGCGCACTCAGTTCATACATTGAGGATCCGTGGTTCGATACCCCGTACAAGTGGAAACAATGGGCGTGTTTCCTTACACCTGCTGTCCCCATTCACATAGCAGTAAGTAGGTACCTAGATGTTAGCCGACTCATGTAGGTCGCATCCTGGGAATAAGATTAACCTAAGTTGCCCGAAATGCTCTTTATAACCAGGTGCTTTCTATATATCATGTAGTATGTCACTGATGTCAGGCTGAGATATATATATATATATATATATATATATATAATATATATATATATATATATATATATAGATATATATAGATATATATATATATATATATATATATATATATATATATATATATATATATATATATATATATATATATATATATATATATATATATATATATATATATATATATGCAAAACAACCACTCTGAAAGAATAGAGAAATTCAAAGCGCTTTCGTGACTACTCACATTATCAAGGAACTATGAAAGTAAAGCATCCAAGGAAGCTATATAAGGGGTCTGGCCAACACCTCACTATCAGATCCCACAACGGTTAAACACCTGACGCGCGCCGACCCAACCGTTGTGGGATCTGATAGTGAGGTGTTGGCCAGACCCCTTATATAGCTTCCTTGGATGCTTTACTGTCATAGTTCCTTGATAATGTGAGTAGTCACGAAAGCGCTTGGAATTTCTCTATTCTTTCAGAGTGGTTGTTTTGCATATTCTGAAATCACCTGTTTACTGTGATCTTATTGCATATTATATATATAATATATATATATATAATATATATATATATATATATATATATATATATATATATATATATATATATATATATATATATATATATATATATATATATATATATATATATATATATATATATATATATATATATATATATATATATATATATATATATATATGAAATAAGATCACAGTAAACAGGTGATTTTAAATTATGCAAAACAACCACTGTGAAAGAGTAGTGAAATTCCAAGCGCTTTCGTGACTACCCACATTGTCAAGGAACTATGAAAGTCATACATCAAAGGAAGGCAATAAAAAGGCTTAGACCACACCTCACAGTCAACTCCCACAACAAAGAAACACCTGACGCGAGACAATACCGGACTCATAAGAAAAGAGGAACAGCGGACCTACTGGAGTGTTCCTCTTTTCTTATGAGTCTGGTATTGTCTAGCGTCAGGTGTTTCTTTGTTGTGGGAGTTGACTGTGAGGTGTGGTCTAAGCCCTTTTATTGCCTTCCTTTGATGTATTACTTTCATAGTTCCTTGACAATGTGAGTAGTCACGAAAGCGCTTGGAATTTCACTACTCTTTCACAGTGGTTGTTTTGTGATATATTATATATTATATATATATATATATATATATATATATTATATAATATATATATATATATATATATATATATATATTATAATATATATATATATATATATATATATATATATATATATATATATATATATATATATATTATATATATATTATATATATATATATATATATATATATATATATATATATATATATATATATATATATATATATATATATATATAGATCACAGTAAACAGTGATTTCAGAATATGCAAAACAACCACTGTGAAAGAATAGAGAAGTTCAACGCTTCGTGACTACTCACATTATCAAGAACAATGAAAGTAAAGCATCATAGGAAGGTATTAAAGGGGTGGCCACACTCACTATCAATCCCACGAAACGAAATACCTGACGCAGACAGCAGCCCGCCGCCGAACTAGACAGTCCTTCATAACAACCCACCAGCAAACTATTCTACCCAAGAAAAAGAAATTTAAAAAATTATTTTGTCCAATGTATTATTAAATTCTTCCCAAATTCTATTAATTATAAATGGATCTAATTTATATAAACCAAAGGAAATATTCATATTATTGTCAAAGCTGCTTTTTATGAAACAAGATTCAATTATATTCCTGTCGACGATGGACTTGCTTGATACTACTTTCTCAACTTTTTGAAAATCAACTGGATGGTTAAAATCTCTTACATGAATAAACAGAGCATTGGAATCTTGTCCAGTTCTAATGCTATATTTATGTTGTTTTAATCTTAGTTCGAGATTTTTACCAGTTTGACCGCAATAAACTTTATCAAAAATTTTACAAGAAATCTTATAGACACATCCATCAGCATTTTGGGGGGAATTCTTTATCAAAAGTTTTTTTACTGTATCAAGATTTTTGAATATAACTTTAATATTGTAGATGAATGGTTCGCAGAACCGACATGTTGATAAATTAGACACATGTGCAACTCTTGGGTATCTTTATTAATGGAAACGACTACTTCCACATTGGGCAAATGTGACACCACCTACGACTGCTGCACCTCTCCTACCTACGGTTTATAAGCTCCTTCTCCGCACATGTGCCGTATTCTACTGAAGATTGATGGACTGACCACATCGACTCTAGGTTGAGGGACTGATTACCTCAGTCTCCTCCTGTTCTTCAAGCTTCTCCTGTGTATGGACTGATGAAGCCACTGTGTGGCGAAACGTTTCCTTGATAAAAATACCTAAGAGTTGCACATGTGTCTAGTTTATCAACTTAATATTAAATGTCTCTTTCACCTGTTCTTTGTAACCTATACATGGAATTTTTTGAAACAAGGCTGCTTAACACAATCCTCCCTAATAGAGCTAAATGGTTCAGTTATGTTGATGATATTTTTTGTCTTATGCCCAAAAATGTAGATATACACCATTTCCTTGGCAAATTAAATAGCTTAGCCCATTCCAAAAATTTTACTGTTGAATTTGAAGAAAATAACTCATTGCCTTTTCTAGATGTTTTAATTATTAAGGGTAATTCAAAGTTTATTCTCTATAAAGATTACAATGTTGAATTTACAGAATTTGGTTGTTGTGTGGTTTACATGTAGTTAAATAATGATTACAGAGTGTACCACTAGAACGCCTAGCATGGCTAGGCATTTCGGGCAGACTTAGTTTAATTCATTATTTTAAATTATTACAAATTATGAGGTAAGTTGGTATTATGGCTAAGTGACTAAATACTAGTTTGCGAGTTTAGCAATGTGAATGCTTTTGTTTTGGCACAGTACATAGTTTCAGTATTGGAGTATCATAGGATTCATTATTTTAAGATTGAGATTAATATTTCTGTTTATGGTCAAATGTGTGAGTGAGTGTAAGTGTGAACCACCAGGTGGCATTCGTGTAGTTAGTTGATGGGGTGTATCAGGGAGATAAGATGTTTTCTAATGGTAGTTTTGAAGGTGATGAATGTGTCTGCAGTTCTAGAGTTCTCAGGTAGGGTGTTCCAGATTTTAGGGTCTTTGACATACATTGAATTTTTGTAAAGGTTTAGTCGGACACGGGGAATGTCGTAGAGATGTTTGTGTCTGGTGTTATGCCTGTGGGTTCTGTCACAACTATCAATAAAGCGTTTTAGGTCAAGGTTGATATTGGAGTTTAAGGTCCTGTAGATGTAGATTGCACAGTAGTAAGTGTGGATGTACTGAACAGGGAGTAAGTTTAGATCTATGAAGAGTGGGGGGGGGGTGTTGCCAGGGATGGGATTTAGTGATTATTCTTACTGCAGCTTTTTGTTGGGTTATTATTGGCTTTAGGTGCATTGCTGCAGTTGATCCCCAAGCACAAATAGCATAGGTGAGGTATGGATATATAAGTGAATGGTATAGTGTGATAAGGGCAGTTTGCGGCACGTAGTATCGTATCTTGGAGAGGATTCCAACCGTTTTGGATACTTTTTTGGTTATGTGTTGGATATGGGTGCTGAAATTCAGGTTGTTGTCAAGGTATAGGCCTAGGAATTTGCCTAGGAATTCAAATTTAAAATTTACAGAAAACCTACAAATAACTGTTCCTATGTCCACTATTATTCTTCCCATCTAGATAGAGTTAAACTGTCTGTTTTGTCATCAATGTTTTTGAGAGCTTTACGAATTTGTAGTCAAGAGTTCATAGATGAGGAAATATTCAAAATTTATGAAATAGGTAATGATTTGAAATACCCAAGAAATGAAATTGATAAATCTTTTAAAGTTGCTAGAAATACTTTTTACAATCCAAAAAAGGGACAACCAGCCTTATTCAACTAAAAATATGTTGGTTCTCCCTTACCATGAAAACTTGGTTGATATGCCTTCTCTTCTTAAGACTTTTAATATTAAAGTTGTATTCAAAAATCTTGATACAGTAAAAAAACTTTTGATAAAGAATTCCCCCCAAAATGCTGATGGATGTGTCTATAAGATTCCTTGTAAAATTTGTGATAAAGTTTATTACGGTCAAACTGGTAAAAATCTCGAACTAAGATTAAAACAACATAAATATAGCATTAGAACTGGACAAGATTCCAATTCTCTATTTATTCATGTAAGAGATTTTAACCATCCAATTGATTTTCAAAAAGTTGAGAAAGTAGTATCAAGCAAGTCCATGGTCGACAGGAATGTAATTGAATCTTGTTTCATAAAAAGCAGTTTTGACAATAATATGAATATTTCTTTTGGTTTATATAAATTAGATCCATTTATAATTAATAGAATTTGAGAAGAATTTAATAATACATTGGACAAATAACAATTTTTTAAATTTCTTATTTCTTGGGTAGAATAGTTTGCTGGTAGGTTGTTTGAAGGACCTGTCTAGTTCGGCCGGCGGGCCTGCTGTCTCGTGTCAGGTGTTTCGTTGTTGTGGGATCTGATAGTGAGGTGTGGGCTACCCCTTTATATACCTTCCTTTGATGCTTTACTTTCATTGTTCCTTGGTAATGTGAGTAGTCACGAGAGCGCTTGGAACTTTTCTATTCTTTCACAGTGGTTGTTTTGCATATATATATATATATATATATATATATATATATATATATATATATATTATATATATATATATATATATATATATATATATATATATATAATATATATATATATATATATATATATGCAATATGATCACAGTAAACAGGTGATTTCAGAATTTGCAAAACAACCACTGTGAAAGAATAGAGAAATTCCAATCGATTTCGCTTGGAATTTCTGTATTCTTTCGCAGTGGTTGTTTTGTATATATATATATATATATATATATATATATATATATATATATATATATATATATATATATATATATATATATATATATATATATATATTTATATATATATATATATATATATATATATATATATATATATATATATATATATATATATATATATATATATATATATATATATCAACCTCGATCAAGGCTCACAGAAAAGATTCTCTTATTGATGCAGAAATATATAGATCCCTTCTACGGCATGTTATATTTTCCTTCCATGTAGGTTGATTGATTAATTGGGTTTGAAGCCTACCTACTTCTTATTAGGTAAGGCTGCATGTCGCCTGTTCACCACCAATCAAGAAACTTTAAACCTTAAAAAGAGGATTAAAGTAAATGTTTATCTTATATACACTAAGAGACATACATAAGTATATATAAGTATAGTTATATAAATTTAAGTGACTATTTTTATTGTACATAGTAACAAAAGTGTGGAATTCATGTGGAATTCATCTGTTTAATTAAGTACAAGAGAATGAAAGGATAAAGGAAATAAAAAATTCTTTGCATGTTTTTATTAGGTTACTGATGCAAACAAAAAATAACCTTCTATCAGGTACCGGCCTGGTGGAAACACTGGCATGTTTTCTTACACCTGCTGACCCTGTTTACCTAGCAGTACGTAGGTGGGTACCCGGGTATTATTCAGCTGGTGTGGGTCGCATCCTGGGGGACAAGATTGAAGGGCCTAATAATAGTATGTAATATTTTTATTTACTACAAGCACATATACAAGGTATACAGGCCTAGCTGACAACAATGACATGCTACTATATAGAAAGCCGGTTGTTATGCTGAGAATTTCTGGCAAATTATGTCAATTTTGCCCCTGGATGCGACCCACACTGGTCAATTGACACCCAGGTACCCATTTTACTGATGGGTGAACATGAATAACAGTTGTAAGGAAACATGCTTAATATTTCCACCCTTGCCGAAAATCGAATCACGGACAGTGTGTGAAGCGAGAGCATTACCTCCCAAGCCACGGGCCACCTTGTGAAATAAGGCAGATAGCCCCCGATGACACACTGACTCTTGAGTTAACCTGGGTGCCTAATAAATCTTAATCTTATCTAAAGAAATAGCAGCCAAGAAAAGTGCCAAAATGTACCCATGAATAAAGCTACAGAAAGGGAGGAGAGTGATTTCTTGTACGAAAATAACTAATTTTACCTCACCCTTAGTATATCTATTCTATGTAACTGTGTATACCTGAATAAACTTACTTACTAACCAATTTAGTCTTGAAGAGTTAGAGATTCCAGATTAAGAGAAAATGAAATCGATTTGTAAAGAAAACGAATGTCAGGGAGCACTTGCATAGAACAAGTATCTTGAATATATTCTTAACAGTGTAGCATTGCGACTCACGCAAGAATTTATAAGTATTCCTATACCAAAACTGGGTATATTCACAGTGTGCTTTTACCTGATGATACATGATGGTTTCATAGTGGAAAGACGGAAGCTGTCGTAGAGAACAAAGACGTAGGACGCTTCCAAGGACCCTAATGGGAATAAGTCACTTTGACTTTTTGGGGTTATCATAGATAGTTTTCGCATATGTACTATATATGATAATTGTACTTATGTGAACCTGTACCTTAATAAACTTACTAATTCATTCTGCGGAAGAGTATTCCCTTCATTATTATCTTTCTCTAACAACCCCATGGAAAATAAACCACACATACTTGGGTTATTTTGGGATGCTAACCCTCTAGGGGTCTAGGTTAATCATCCGAATAAAATCTTATCCATCCAACGACCAGGTTTTTCTCTTTATCTCATTTTTTTTTTTTTATCCATCATCATCTATGTCGTGTCAGTAGTGTGAGCAGAGGCAAGGAGGAGCTGAGAGTGGAGTTGGAGGAATATTAATTATTGTTTTATCCCTGTGAGATGCTCAACCTGTGTATGTGTTAATAAGAGCAAGGAGTAGCGGAGGATCCACCTTCAGTCCAGTTAAGAGGAGGGTGGAGTGGGAAGTGCAGAAAGGAGTGAAAAATAGAGATAGGAATGGAAAGGGGAGGAGTAGGAAGTGGTTAGTGTAGTGAGAAACAGAGACATGATTGGAAAAGGGAAATAAAAGTAGGAAGGGTGGAAGTGAAGTGGACAGGTGAGAGAGGAGTACAATATAGATAGGAGCTGCTGTTGTCAGAGACAGTAATTTAGTTTTACCTGCAGATAATCTGGCTCTGCGAGATGCACATTGTGTCTGATCAGCGTTACACAAACTGTGAAGAGAACCTTGGGTCAGAAATAATAATTTATAATTATAATAATAATTTCTACAAGTGCATGAGCAAGGTATACAGGCCTAGCTGACATCAATGACATACTACTATATAGAAAGCCGCTTGTTTTGCAGAGCATTTCTGGCAAAATAGGTCAATTTTGTCCTGGGATGCGAATCACAACAGTCGACTAGCACACAGGTACCCATTTTATGCTGATGGGTGAACATACACAGCCGGTGTAAGGAAACACGCCCAATGTTTCTATCCTGGCCGGGACCCCTCACCATGTAAAGTGAAAGCTTTAGCCACTAGGCCACGCGGCACCGTGAATGCACTGGTTGTTGAACATAGAGTGGCTGATTATATGGTTAAGACCTGTTCCAGCTTAGTTTTTCCCTGACAATTATGTTAGCAACAACAGCTGACTACACAAATAATCCGCACATAAGTGAGAGAGAAGCTTACGACGACGTTTCTGTCTGACTTGGACCATTCACAAAGTCACACTAACACAAAAAAGTGAGTGAACGAGTACATATAGGCGAGGAGGACAGAGATTATAGACTGTAAGATCTTTCGTTATCTCGTTTTCTTATGTTCTCCCATGTACATTTCCTCCTTGTCTCTATTCTTAAGGTTTTTTGACGTGGCTCAACTGCGTGAACGTGCGCTGGGTGGCAAAGCTGCAGAATGTCTCTACGCTGACAAAGGTGTTGGCTCTGGGCGTCATCATCGTGGCTGGGCTCTACCACCTAGGCACTGGACACCTTGAGAACTACCGAGCGCCCATGGCTGGCACCCACTGGGACGCTGTCGCTATCTCCACGGCCTTCTACCAGAGCCTTTTCTCTTACACTGGCTGGTAGGTCTTGATGGCCGTTTTTATCTTGTGCTTCATAATAAATGCTCTCCAAAACGAGTCCTTTCATGGGGTACTTGAATGTTGGTAAAGGGCTCAGATCTGATTATCTTCCCTTTTGTCAGACACTGTATGGTTTCTTCAGGATTAGCACTTTCTCATGATTATAATAACTGTCATAAGCTACAGCTGATAATGCGAAAACTGCAGAAAATTCAATATATGTGCTTCTCACAGTGTTTGACGCCAGAAGAAATTAACAAACCTTACCTCCTGTTACAGGGACTACTTGAATGTCGTCACTGAGGAAATCAAGAACCCCAACAGGTAAGCCGTGTCGAATTTCTTTTTTTTTTATTTGCAATTTGACGAGTGCACTTAGGAAGCGTGTGTCTTCCTAGGAAAGAGTAGATCAAGCTTCCATCACTCTTTCGCTAAATAACCTACACGGATTATTTGCTATTGCCTTTACCTGTTCACAGTTATCATCACAGTATCTCGGATCCACTTCATCATGTGTTTAATCTTTCTAGGAATTTGCCTCTGTCCATCATCCTCTCCACCACGATCATCACCATCGTCTACACTCTCACCAATGTCTCCTACTTCGCTGTTCTAACTCCGACTGAGATGCTCGCCTCCAGTGCTGTGGCTATGGTGAGTGTGGATCTTTTGTTCTTTACAGCCATTGTGAGTGTGGCTGTTCGTTATGTCTCTACGAATGTGACTCCTGTATTTTTGTGACTAAGATCTAGTATTACAGCGAAAGTACATGTTAGCTTGTGGTATGACTGAGCAAGCATGTGAATAACCTCGATGATCCAAAACATTATGAGGCTGGTACTTGATTCGAGGTGGGTAAATTATAAGCACTCACAGCCCTAGAGCAGAAAAGAGCTAGAGATGATGTGATCATGATGTCTAAAATACTGGGGAAATTAAACCCAACTGAAAGGAACAGACCTTTTGTTAGATGTGGTCAGTATACTAATAAACCACTGATAAGTTAACGCATACATAAGGAGAACGAAATAAGTAAAAGGGTGGGGAGAGAAATACCAAACGCAGTTTTACGTGCAGATAAATGGCCACGAAGGTCATGAATTGGTAAATCTAGTCGACAGCAATTAGGAGAGAAGCTATGAACTGATCCCTGCAAACTTTACTTTGTAAAAAGAGAGTGAGTACAAAAACTTATGACAAGCCCACAGAGTATATTCTACACACAAATGTTAACTGGGTCTCGATCACGTAATGTGCGCAAAGAGCATAAAAGATGTGGCTTTATATATAATAGCAATCATAGAGACCTAATTATTAGGAAGGATCAATATCAGTCTTTTCAACGGAATTCTATAAAATTATGAAAGAGAAAAGAAAAAAATGAGGGTGGATTCAGAAGAGTAATAGCAAAGCCATGCAACTCACCCTCGAAGATGAGGCTACAAACACAACACAAAATCGTCCACCATAACCATTACAAGATACAAATACAAACATATGCTCATTGGGTATTTTATCCTTCCAGACGTTCGCAGCACGGATGTTAAGCTTGTTGGCCTGGACGATGCCTGTCTTCGTCATGTTCTCTACATTCGGCAGCACACATGCTTCCGTCTTCACACAGACAAGACTCATCTTCGTCGGGGCGAGGAGGGGCCAGTTCCCGCAGGTTTTCTCTTTAGTCAGTGTAAAGAACTTCACACCTGCTCCAGCTGCTATATTCAACGTTAGTATCTTCCCGAGTAGAAGGTGTAAGAAGGGAAAAAAGATAGGAAAAGGCAGAGGTTAATAGAGAATGGAGAGGAAGAAGGATGGATAAATTAAGAACATAAGAACATAAGAAAGGAGGAACACTGCAGTAGACCTGTTAGCCCATATTAGGCAGTCCTTCGCAAATCCAACCCACTAACAGAATAAACACTAACCAAACAATAAGCTTTGATAATTCTGTTTACTTTCAGACAAGTCCCACTCAAATCCAACCCCTCTCACTCATGTATTTATCCAACCTAAATTTGAAATTACCAAAGGTTTTAGCTTCGATAACCCTACTAGGCAGACTGTTCCACTCATCAACTACCCTATTACCAAACCAGTACTTCCCTATATCCGTTCTAAATCTAAACTTATCTAATTTGAATCCATTATTGTGGGTTCTCTCTTGGAGGGATATCCTCAAAACCTTATTTATATCCCCCTCAGTTAATACCCATCTTCCACTCACACACTTCGATCATGTCTCCCCTCAGTCTTCGTCTTACAAGTGAATATAAATAAAGAGACTTCAATCTTTCTTCATATGGAAGATATCTAATGCTATGTATGTATTAACTTAGTCATTCTAAGCTGAATGTTTTCTAACGAATTTATATCCATTCTGTAATATGGAGACCAGAACTGAGCTGCATAATCTAGGTGAGGCCTTACTAATGATGTATAAAGCTGTAATACAACCACTGGATTTCTGTTGCTTACACTTCTTGATATAAATTCCAGTAATCTATTTGCCTTATTAGAAATGTGTACGCACTGCTGTCTAGGTTTAAGGTCGCTGCTTACCATAACCCCCAAATTCTTTTGGCAATCTGTATGGCTAAGTTCTACATTATTTAACTTATACTAAGTGCTAGGATTATGGACACTCCTGAGCTTCAGAACCATGCATTTATCTGCATTGAACTGCATCTGCCACTTTTCTTATCACGAACTGAGTTTGTCTAAACCCTTCTGAAGTTCCACGACATCTACGTTTGAATCAATTATCCTACCTATCTTTGTGTCATCGTCGAATTTGCTCATATCACTAGTAATTCCCTCGTCAAGGTCACTGATATATATTATAAACAGCAAAGGGCTTAAGACTGATCCCTGTGGAACGCAACTTGTTACAGATCCCCACTCGGATTTAACCCCATTTATGCACACACTCTGCTTCCTGTTCGTGAGCCATGACTCGATCCATGACAGCACTTTTCCCTCAATGCCATGAGCTGCCACTTTTTTTAACAGTCTCGAAATTGGGAGAGACAGTAAAAAATAATCTCATACAAGTACAAATTCGCTATTACGTAAAGTAATTTATATGCTTTCTTCCTGGTCTTCTTCATCTCTCTCCTGCTCACAGGGACTGACAATCTTGATTATGCTGCTGGTGCCGGATGTCTCCTCCCTCATCAACTACACCGCCTTCAGCGCCACCGCCATGCAGTTCGCCTGCATTTGTGCACTCTTCCGGTTCAGATATAAAAACCCACAATGGAAGAGACCGTTCAAGGTTGGCTCAAAATTACGTTCATTATTGTACAATAATATTGAAGTTAAACTAAGGCAAGTCAGCTATGCCTACTGAGCTAGATTTTCCAGTGCATAAAGGGACATAGTTTCCATATGAGTGCTGATATAGTAATATAGATTGTTAACTCTGTCTCAAAGCTTGTATAAACAAGTAACTTTGCTCGTGTTTGAATCTCACAGTGTTAGTAAAAGTATGAACATATTTCCCTTGTTATAGATAATGCTAAGTCCTGTCATTCGTTACCCATCTCACTACAGTTTTCTGCATGTCGTTTATTGGCACAGACACTGTACTTGCAGAAGAATGAGAGGAGAAAAGACATTGTATCCTCGAGTCTTAACGCAGACGTTTATATGGAAACACTGACTGGCCAACTAAGGATTCAGTGTAGAAGAGGACACTTATGTACAGTTCCGGACATTTATTACAGGAAACGTTTCGCCACGAGTGGCTTCTTCAGTCCTAATGAAGTAGCCACTCGCGGCGAAACGTTTTCGTTAAAAAATATCCTGAACTGTAAATAAGTGTCTGTATTCTACATCTTGTCTGTATCACCATACCATTTCTCAACTAAGGTTTCCTTTCCGTGATGGGTACGCATATGCCAACCCTCACCCTTTCCCGATTCTCTCATTCATCAGTTTTTCTTCCTTCAGGTGTGGCTGGTGCTTCCCGTAGTCTTCGCGTTAACGCAGCTCTTCCTGATGTTAATCCCTATCATCATGGCCCCGTCGGAGGTAGCGGGAGCTGTTGGAGTCATCATCACTGGCCTACCAGTATACTACCTCACCATACATCGGCGGGATCTAGCTCGCTGGTGCTCAGGAAGTCTAGGTCAGTTCCTCCTTCTGAAGAGTGTTGTAAAGGTTTTTCATGATGGTAATAATAGGTGTAAACCCGGGAAATTTGATTCAGAGACATGATAAAAGTTCTGGCGAAGTCACATACGTTGACCTGCTCGGTGGAGCTTTGGGTCAGCTGCCTGAGACCTTCCGTTAGCTTACCTGTCCACTTAACGTATAAAACATGCAAAGTGCTGCTTCAGTTACACAAGTGCAGTCGATAGGTCTTATAAACCTAACAAATATAAAACTAATTAGTATTTAAAGCCCTTTCAGGATTTTTTTATTCGTAATTACTTGTGTCAAGTCAAAGAAGAGGCCTGCAACAAGCCTAATCATTATTTTTCTTTTGCAGACAAGCTGACTATCGTTTTTCAGAAAGTGTTTTTCTGCTTGCCTGAGGAGAAGGAAGAGCAAGAAAAATAAACATCGCAAAATCGACACGGATATTTTCCATTTAGCATACGTAAAAAAAAAAGGAAAACATTATTTTTGTTGAATTTGTCTTTACTGTTTAACATAAAATGTTTATTGTTAATAATGTGTTGTTTTATTTCACATTGGAAACCAATGTAAATTATTTTTTTTAGTCGAGGAAATGTTATTTTGTTATTACCAAATTGGATTACTTTTCCGTAGTTAAAAAATAAAAGCCAATCAATGGTATCCCGTCATATATATATGCAAACAATCGCCTGTCTGCAAACAATCGCAGACGGGCGATCTTAACTATGCAAGACAAGGCACGAGGGGTGGAAAGCTTCAGCTCAAGTACTTTCATACTTCTCAGTGCATCATCAGGAGCTATGCAATGTTGCAAGGCTGCAACTGAAGGAGTGAGGGAAAGTTTTCTCAGAGCAGCAGCAGGTGATAGACCCGAACTGCGCTGTATTGAGAAAACTTCCCCTCACTCCTTCAGTTGCAGCCTTGCAACATTGCATAGCTCCTGATGATGCACTGAGAAGTGTGAAAGTACCTGAGCTAAAGATTTCCACCTCCCATGGCTTGTCTTGTAAATATATATACACGAAATATCTACACGAAAGGAGGCGCTGACCAGGGAAGTGGAAACTATCGAACTTAAGTTAAATGACTCTTACAGGAACCAGGAGAGATAGGAGGAGCTTAAAGCTATTAGTGAAATTGAAAGAAATTCAAAATATTTCTTTTCATATGCCAAAAACAAGGTAAATACCACATTTAGTATCGGGCCCTTACTCAGACAGGATGGGACTTACACAGATGACAACAAAGAAATGAGTGAAATATTGAAATCCCAATACAACTCTGTGTTTAATGAACCAGTAATCGGTCTGAGGATCGACGACCCAAATGATTTCTTCGTGAATGAGCCTCAAAACTCCATAAATGTATGCCAGATTTCCGACATTACCCTAACTCCGATACATTTCGAAAAAGCCATTAACAACATGCCCATGCACTCAGCCCAGGGCCCAGACTCGTGGAACTCTGTTTTCATTAAGAACTGCAAGAAACCCCTCTCGCGTGCCCTAAGTACACTATGGAGGAGGAGCTTGGACATGGGTGAAATTCCAGTCACTTAAAACAACGGACATAGCCCCACTCCATAAAGGTGGCAGCAAAGCATTAACTAAGAACTATAGATCAATAGCTCTGACGTCCCACATCATAAAAATCTTTGAATGAGTGCTAAGAAGCAGGATTGCAAACCACCTGGATTCCCAAAATCTGCACAATCCAGGGCAACATGGGTTCAGGGCAGGTCGCTCCTGAATCTCACAACTACTGGATCACTATGATATGGCCTTGGATGCACTGGAAGAAAATTAGAATGCAGATGTAATATACACAGACTTTGCAAAAGCATTTGACAAATGCGATCATGGTGTAATAGCCCATAAAATACGTGCTAAAGGAATAACTGGGAAAGTGGGGAGATGGATCTTCAACTTCCTAACAAATCGAACACAAAGAGTAGTGGTCAACAGAGTTAAATCGGAGGCTGCCATAGTGAAGAGCTCTGTTCCACAAGGCACAGTACTCGCCCCCATCTTATTCCTTATCCTCATATCAGACATAGACAGAGATATACATCACAGCACCGTATCATCCTTTGCGGATGATACTAGGATCTGCATGAGGCTGTCATCTGCTGAGGACGCGGTTAACCTCCAAGAAGATATAAACAAACTTTTCCAGTGGGCAACGGTAAACAATATGATGTTCAATGAGGACAAATTCCAACTACTCCGTTATGGAAAACTGGAGGAGATAATAACTAGAACAGAGTATACTACAGACTCTGGCCATACAATAGAGCGGAAAAATAATGTAAGGGACCTGGGAGTAGTAATGTCTGAGGATCTCACTTTCAAGGATCACAACAGTGCCACGATCGCACGTGCAAAGAAAATGACAGGATGGATAATGAGAACGTTCAAAACGAGAGATGCCAAGCCAATGATGATCCTTTTCAAATCACTTGTTCTCTCTAGGCTGGAATACTGCTGTACATTAACATCTCCATTCAAAGCAGGTGAAATCGCAGATCTAGAGAGTGTACAGAGATCCTTTACTGAACGTATAAGTTCTGTCAAGCACCTTAACTACTGGGAACGCTTGGAAACACTTGACTTGTACTCGTTGGAACGCAGGAGGGAGAGATACATCATAATCAACACTTGGAAAATCTTGGAAGGAATGGTCCCAAATTTGCACACAGAAATCACTCATTACGAAAGTAAAAGACTGGGCAGGCGATGTAAAATGCCCCCAATAAAAAGTAGGGGCGCCATTGGTACACTAAGGGAAAACACCATAAGTGTCCGGGGCCCAAGACTGTTCAACAACCTCCCATCAAGCATTAGGGGAATTGCCAATAAACCCCTGGCTGCCTTCAAGAGAGAGCTGGACAGATACCTAAAGTCAGTGCCGGATCAGCTGGGCTGTGGCTCGTACGTTGGACTGCGTGCGGCCAGCAGTAACAGCCTAGTTGATCAGGCCCTGACCCATCGGGAGGCCTAGTCATGGACCGGGCCGCGGGGGCGTTGATCCCCGGAATAACCTCCAGGTATATATATATATATATATATATATAATATATATATATAATATATATATAATATATATATATATATAATATATATATATATATATACATATATTATATGTGTGTGTGTGTGTGTGTGTGTGTGTGTGTGTTTTATATATATATATGACTCACGAAATCGTAATGATACAATTGCAAACAAACCATACCACGGGTGGGGTTTGAACCCGCGATCAAAGAGTCACAAAACTCCAGACCGTCGCGTTAGCCACTGGACCAACTAGCTACAATAAGATTCATCCAACTAGGTATATTTTTACACCATAGGAAGGTTAGCATAGGCACCACTGTAGAAATATACCCAGTTGGATGAATCGTATTGTAGCCAGCTGGTCCTGTGGCTAACGCGACAGTCTGGAGTTTTTGTGACTCTGATCTGTGACATATATATATATATATATATATAATATATATATATAATATATATATATATTATATATTAATATATATATATATATATATATATATATATATATATATATATATATATATATATATATATATATTTTTTTTTTTTTTTTTCAGCAAGTCGGCCGTCTCCCACCGAGGCAGGGTGACCCAAAAAAGAAAGAAAATCCCCAAAAAGAAAATACTTTCATCATCATTCAACACTTTCACCACACTCGCACATTATCATTGTTTTTGCAGAGGTGCTAGGAATACAACAGTTTAGAAGCATACACATATAAAGATACACAACATATCCCTCCAAACTGCCAATTATCCCAAACCCCCTTTAAAGTGCAGGCATTGTACTTCCCATTTCCAGGACTCAAGTCCGACTATATGAAAATAACCGGTTTCCCTGAATCCCTTCACTAAATATTACCCTGCTCACACTCCAACAGATCGTCAGGTCCCAAGTATCATTCGTCTCCATTCATTCCTATCTAACACGCTCACACACGCTTGCTGGAAGTCCAAGCCCCTTGCCCACAAAACCTCCTTATACCCCTCTTCCAACCCTTTCGAGGACGACCCTCCCCCGCTTCCTTCCCCTATAGATTTATATGCTTTCCATGTCATTCTACTTTGATCCATTTCTCTCTAAATGACCAAACCACTCAACAACCCCTCTTCTGCCCTCTGACAATACTTTTATTAACTCCACACCTTTTCCCTAATTTCCACACTCCGAATTTTCTGCATAATATTTCACCACACATTGCCTTAAACAGGACATCTCCACTGCCTCCCAACCGTCTCCTCGCTGCGGCATTTAACCACCCAAGCTTCACACCCATATAAGAGTGTTGGTACTACTATACTTTTTATACATTCCCTTCTTTGCCTCCATAGATAACGTTTTTTGACTCCACATATACCTTAATGCACCAAATCACCTTTTTTCCCTCATCAATTCTATATTAACCTCATCCTTCATAAATCCATCCGCCGACACGTCAACTCCCAAATATCTGAAAAAATTCACTTCTTCCATACTCTCCTCCCCAATTTGATATCCAATTTTTTTTTTATCTAAATCATTGACACCCTCATCACCTTTCTCTTTTCTATGTTCACTTTCAACTTTCTACCTTTTTCAAACATTCCCAAATCATCCACTAACCTTTGCAATTTTTTCTTTAGAATCTCCCATAAGCACAGTATCATCAGCAAAAAATAACTGTGTCAATTCCCATTTGAATTTGATTCCCCAAAATTTAATCCCCACCCCTCTCCGAACACCCTAGCATTTACTTCCTTTACAACCCCATCTATAAAAAATATTAAACAACCATGGTGAAAATTACACATCCCTGTCTAAGACCTACTTTTACGGGAATTTGTCTCCCTCTCTTCTACACACCCCAACCTGAAACCTCACTATCCTCATAAAAACTCTTTACAGCATTTAATAAATTACCACCTATTCCATATATTTGCAAAATCTGCCAATTGCTCCTCTATCCACTCAATCATATGCCTTTTCAATCCATAAATGCAATAAAAACTTCCCTACCTTTATCTAAATACTGTTCACATATATGCTTCAATGTAAACACTTGATCTACACATCCCCTTACCCACTCTGAAACTCCTTGCTCATTTCCGCAATCCACATTCTGTCTTACCTCTAAATTCTTTCAATTATAACCCTACCGTACACTTTTCTTGGTATACTCAGTAAACTTATTCCTCTATAATTTTTACAGTCTCTTTTGTCCCCTTTCCCTTTATTATAAAGGGACTATACATGCTCTCCGCCAATCCCTAGGTACCTTCCCCTTTTTCATACATTTATTAAACAAAGTACCAACCACTCCAACACTATATCCCCCCTGCTTTTAACATTTCTGTCATGATCCCATCAGTTCCAGCTGCTTTAAACCCCCTTTCATTTTACGTAATGCCTCACGTACCTCCCCCACACTTACATTCTGCTCTTCTTCACTCCTAAAAGATGGTATACTTCCCTGACCAGTGCATGAAATTACTGCCTCTGTTTC